ACGACTTTTTTTAAAATGCCTGCCATTTTGTCAAATTTTGAGATTTGCGACCTCTAGGGTGCTCGTAGTTTTGGGAAGTACCCGCCAGGCAGCCGCCATATTGGACGCCATTTTGGATTTTTGGACTTGAAAAAAATCCCAGTTGTAGAGCAAGAATGAATAAAGATTTGACAAAAAAACTCAGGTCTCTTACTCTTACCAGTTCCCTGGAAAAAAAAACCAAAGTTTAGGTCAATTGAACCGGAAATCCCGTTTAAGTGTGAAGTTGTCAAAATTTGAGTAAATTACTTTTGTTCTGATGAGTAAAAGCTACCCGGATTCTGGGTAAATGGATATAATAATAATTTCCAAACACTCAAAATGGGGCACCAAAGAAAACATATATTCTGTGCTGTGTGAAAATTAAATGCTTAGATGTGATACAGTTCAAAACAACAACCACGGAAAATTTTGAATGGTAGGGTAGAAGTATTATATTTCGCCACTGTGTTAGTTTTCGCCTTTAGCTAAAACAATGCCCGATTTTTTTAATTAGCAATATTTTTTTAACTCTAACCGCATTGCAAATAGATGCACAAAATTGTTATTGATACCTCAATATATTCAAATTATACGGTAGTTGATATTATTGTCGAAAAACTCTGTGTCTGAAAAATAGTGACTCAATATTGCATTATTTTTCGATCTATTGAAAAAATAGCAAATTAGAAATCAACGGGAAAGTTCTACAAACCAATCATATTGGATGTAAACGGCACATACATTATCTTTTTACATCATTTACTGTACAAATTCAGTTCCGGTTAGTGCAAAGACTATTTATTTTAAAGATAAATAAGAAAATAAAAGGTGGCGAAATATAGCACACAAAATTCACACGATTCTAATTATCAACCCTGGCGAAATCTCTTTGTTCGAATTGAAAACCTGCCTAGTGCTAATATTCGCCTCCTTTGTGTGAACTATCAAATATTATTTGTAAACAAAAAGTTTGAGTCAAGTGTTGAGCTGCACCTTTCTGCTGCTGTGTAACAATGGTAATTATTATCAAATTTGTTTATAAACTCTAACTTTGTTAACCAGTTGTTCACTATACATCAGACTCAGAGGCCGAAACGTTAGCGGAACACATATTCGGAGGCTGAGATTGCGGCTTCGGTTGATAAAATTTGGCACAAGGAGATGAGCTTGCTTGAGGCATCCAAACATTACGGAATCCCACGATCGACAATTCGATCGCGGCTTGCGAAGAAAACTCGAACAGTGTTCCGTACAGGTCCAGCTAGCAGAACTTGAGCTTGAAGAATGGATCTTTGATATGCAGAACCGGGGTTTTCCCATAACGAAACAGATGCTGCTGGACGTGTGAAAAAAATACTTGAATGCCATCCCCAGAGCAAAGAAATTTCCAAAAATCTCTCCAGGTAAAATGAATTATTTTTGGCTTCTTCATGAGATTATCACTAATTTATTACTTGTTTTTTTATGTCGAACATGGATGCACCTGTGCTTGAAACGGCACATAAAAATTTCTTTGAGGACTCAGATATTCTTAACAAAATCTAGTGCCGCTGTATCTCCATCTGATATACATTCATGGTTCGATAAGATTGAAGCTTTTTTAACTGCGAAATTACTTACGGAAATACTTCAAGATCCGCAGTGCATCATAAATCTCGGTGAACATTTCAAATGGTCCTAACTGCTTTGATCGATTCTCTTTACCGACCTTCTCTTTTCATAACCACTGCTATACAAACAGATTTAGCGCTAATTCTACCACATTGTTTGATAAAGGAGGTTCATTTCTAGCGTCGATTTTTAAAATACGCGCTTTTAAACCTACACACAGCAAAAAATTAATTTTAATGTCACATCAAAGTGTCGAAAATATGGTGTAAAAATTATCATTAATACAGTGCATGAACTAACATTACGCTGCTTTTACTGCATTTGTTTATTTTTGTGGCCATAATAATTACATGAGATTTTTGACATGATTGAAGTGCATCCTCTTGAATGTAATATCAAAATTTATTTTTTACTGTGCAAGATAAATCAAAACATTCATTTTTGAATTGAAAACTACCTTGCTTTTGATACTTTTAAATTGATAGGTCAATATTTTTACTCATTCTACTCATCATAAGGAAACTGATTTACCCAGATATTGACAACTACTTATTGCACATAAGAATGGGTACAGTCTCTGGGTAGAATTAGAATAGCGTGTAGAAAAAGTAAATTCTACTCAATGTAAAGATGTTCTCATGGATCGTGTACCGCCAACATCTGTCAATTTCTCTGTTAGATAAACATTTCGACAGTGAGCATGCATAAGGGCCTATACGCGATGATCGATTCTCTTCGTCGATTTTCTCTTTTATTAATAACTCGCTAGATTTAACATTTCTCGGTGCGTTTGCTGTTGCTTTTGATAGCCAATACAACCTGTTACTACTCTACATTGAACAAATTCTAGAAAATTGTTTCGCTTAGCTGTAGCAATGCAAAGAGAAAATCGATGAAGAGAATCGATCATCGCGTATTCGCCCTTATGCATGCTCATTGTCGATTTAAACTATCTGGACAGTTTTATTTACTGATTAATTTTTTCTGGATGTTACAACTCGAAAGAAGGCCCTTCCAGTAGTAAATATAGTAGGTTTGAGTGGGCATCAAGCATAACTTTTCAAATAGGCCAATCTACAGTCATCGACTCTCTCTTTCGTTGATAACTCGGCTCCAAAATCATGTTCAGCTTTTTTATCGCCCAATATGCTTAATAATACTTTCTTTTAACAGGCTATGCAGACCAATTAGTCCTAAATATGAATGCAGCCCATTTAATAGTGGCTTAGCGGCACCGGTGGTGTAGTGGTAAGCGTGATTGCCTCTCACGACAAAAGGCCTGGGTTTGCTTTGATTCGCCATGAAAGTTTGACAGATAAAATGAGGGATTCGTGGATTTTCCTATATTTCGAGGGGTGCCTTCTACTCTTGGAGTTACAGTTGTGTTCGATAAAATAGCAGCGCATGCCGATTTTCATACAAAATGGTCAACTTTGATATGATGTAACTTTGTTCACTTATGATCAATTGAGCTGAAACGTTCGCCAAAGAACTACAAATATGTTCAATTTTACGATTACAAAATATTAAATTTTTAAAAGCACTTACCGGAAAGTGAGATACCAGTAATAATAATTTTCATTTCAGCTTAATTTTGAATTTTTTTGAAATTTAACATTTCTCAAAATTCTAATAATCCCTACCCTGTTAGTTGGGTTAAATGTTAAATGTACATAATAGTTAAAATTGTTGAAAAGATTTGCAGCACGTAAATTTTCAAATAAAAAACTGCTATTATTTTGAACAATTTTTCCTCTTTTGTATTACTGTTGCGTATTTTCAGAAACATATGGGAATTCGGGTGAACCATATTGTTAGTTCATAATATTTGCCCACACTTTTACAAATCTACCACCATATTTCACAGTTATATAGGAAAATCCACGAATCTCTCATTTTATCTTGAAGTAATGAAATTGGGTTGTTAGCGGAATGCTTTAATAAAACAGCAAAAAAAGGTTATCTTCCATTTAATTCCACTTAATTAATTTTGGTATCCATGACAGATACGTATTTCGACTACAATGTGCAGTCTTCATCAGTGTCTTTCCCACTAAAGAACTTATCAAAATCTAACCCCCTTAAGTACTCATCCCCTAGGTATAAAAGTCAAGATCACAGGTATATAAATGAAACTACAATGTGTTGAATCGGAACCTACCTAACTAATTAAAACCAAAGATTTAAGTAAGCTAAAGGAGAAAAATCTATTCAACTCTCTAATAAGGAAAATCCCAAAGGCTTGGTAGCCATCATAATGAAGTAATGAAATTGGGTTGTTAGCGGAATGCTTTAATAAAACAGCAAAAAAAGGTTATCTTCCATTTAATTCCACTTAATTAATTTTGGTATCCATGACAGATACGTATTTCGACTACAATGTGCAGTCTTCATCAGTGTCTTTCCCACTAAAGAACTTATCAAAATCTAACCCCCTTAAGTACTCATCCCCTAGGTATAAAAGTCAAGATCACAGGTATATATCCATACCCATCCATAAAACTGTATATCTCTACTAACCTCGAGACGACCGCGAGTAATCGGTTCAATTCCTTTAACTCTAGCTTTAAAACATCTATTATGTATAACGCAAATGATAACATGGCTCTGTAAAGTTTATTCGATTGAGCCTATTCAAATAAATTAATACAAAAAAAAATATGGTTAGGTTTGCTATTTATTTACACTTTTTGTGAAATGATATTTTAGTCCGATAAATTTTGCACTATACTATGGAAATACTACTAGCCCGAGGTTGATTGATTAAAATCGACTTAATTTTAAATTATGTTCCACACTCAAATTCAAACCTCCTAGCCGCCAAGAACCGCCTCTGGTCGGAAGGAAATAAAAAGCTTAACTTAATGTTCCTTGTTCCATGGTCGCGCACTAGAGATGCAGGTCCAATGGTAAAACTCAGTTCAACTCAATCCCTAGTGGACCCCGACCGATGCGCGATGCCAGGACATGGTGGTAATGGTCACAGCTAAGAAAGAAGCGGAGAGAAAAAAAATGGCAGCGCTAATCCTTTACACAAAAATGTTGCTTCCGGGAAATCCTTTTCCATCGTTTCGGCTCGATTCACTGCTTCGCTCGCACGAGGCAGCTCTAATCCAATAAAAAGTACCCTAATTAGGTGGCTTAGTGCAACCGTTCCAGATGACCCGCCTAGTGGTAGGTACTGGTGGTCTCTAGGCGGCGAAATGGATCGCCAAAACTCGAAAGGACGTGACTCATTAGGGATGTGATAAAACCGATTCGGGCTTAGCTCCTTGAGAATGACGCTGACCAATAGTTGATTGTTGTTTTGTCTGTTGTAATCCCAACCTAGTTCTAATCGTAATTTTGTTTAATTTCTTCCATTTCAGACCATGTGCGGGAGTTTCAGTGCGGGAAGTTCTACTATCGAACGTTCTACCTGGACGAGGAACGGGACTCACTCTACGTGGGAGCAATGTAAGTAAAGCCCAAAAAAGGCAAACAAAAACTCCACTATTTTATCAATATTATGCCTCTTACTGTTAAGTACCTCGGCACAAACACACGTGCTCCGTTCCCAAAGTGTACCATTCCGTAGCTAAATATATCCTTTTGTGAACCTAGTGTGCCCTAGTGAGCACGAATTGAAACGGATTGTAAAAATTTTAATTACATAAAATAATTAATCCGCTTTGTTGATGTTACGGGAGGGTGACGATCTGGAAATGGGTGATGGGAAGGGAAGGGTAAGAGTTGAGGCAATATAAGTACACTCTTGCTTCCGTCTCTCGATCCATACATGAACCGATTTTGGGTCCCGTGTAAAACAACATACACCGACATAGTTCCCCTTCAGAACCTCATAATGCTTTTCGTATCGCATCACGAATGGTTCGAGGCTCATTCAGGGTTGCCAGATATACATATATGTCTGTATTTGAACAGACATTTAAGCATGCATATAGACGTACATTAGGATAAAGCTACGGATTTATACAGACATTGATATCCATCAACATCGAAAAATGGTTTCAGAAATGAATTGACTTGTTTAATACATATATTTGTTGAACATCAGTTATTCCATTTTGCATTTGAAACTGGACTCATCAAAAGTGCGGAATCGCTAATAAAAGTGTGATTTTACGTTGTACCCAGGTCTGTCATGATAGTTACTCTTGGTTAATCCATGAGTAACCAGCTCCGGAAATCGATTTGATTGTTAATTATTTAATAAAACAGCAAAAAAGGGTTTCTTCCATTTAACTCCACTTGATTAATTTTGGTATCCATGACAAATACGTGTTTCGGCTACAATCATTCATCAGTGTCGTTCCCACTGAAGAATTTATCAAAACCTAACCCCCTTAAGTACTCATCCCCTAGGTAAAAAAAATCAAGAGCACAGATATAAAAATGAAACTACAACGTGTAGAATCGGAACCTATTTAACTTATAAAAACCAAAGATTCGAGTAACCTAAAGGAAACAAATCTAAATAACTCTCTAATAAGGATGATTAAATCAAAATTAGCTGAGCGCAAAAATATCTATTTATGATGTACCAAGAACTTTCAGGGATATCAAAAATATTCTGATAAATTTCGAAAGCTTCAGGTAAGTTCCGAGGACTTGAATAATGTCCTGCACTTTGGGAAGTTTAAAGATCATTAATGGTAAGTTCTGAGAATTCAGGACAGTTCCATGAACAAAAAAAAAATCGTTTGCTTGATGAAGCCCAGAGATCATTTCGACAGTTGTATCAATTTGAAGAATTTTACAAGAACTTCAAGAATTCTTCAGGAATTATAAAAGATCTATAAAATAAAGTTTAGAGAGATTCGGAAGGCATTTGAAAAGGTCAGGGCAGTGCCATGAACATCGGATCATTTTTGGGAACATTTGGGAAATTCCTATAATTTCAGAACTTTTATGAAAAGCTCAGATCTGTTCGATTAATAAAAAAAAGCTGCAGAAACTGTATAGAAGCTTCAGAAAATGATTTGAGAGTTTCATAAACATCAGGAGATTTTTTTCGGAAAAATTCAGAAAACTCTATGTTAGTTCCATTAAGGTGAAGCTTACCGCCCCGAAAAAAAATGTTTTTAAACTTCTAAAAATCTACAACCACCTGTATTTCATCTTTTTTAAATTATGAGTAAAAACTAAGTCAACATGGCAACAAGTTGGACTCAAAAAACCACATAAATCGACCTTGCGGTTTTTAGAGTCAATTTTTTTCCATCTTTACATGTAAATTTTCTCAGGAATCTGAGAACGACTGATTTTCCTTGATTTTCAAGATTCACTTTTTTTTTATTTCATCCTGAAAAATGTCGCTTTACATTAAATTGGTAAAATACCAAAAAATAATACAAATAAAAATGATTCTACAATACCATTCCAATACCAAATTATGATAATGCAATACCAAAACAATTCCACACAGGTGTTCTTTTGGTATCCAAATATAAAATTTTGTTATTTTCAAAGTATTTTTGGCATGTAATTTTTGGTATTATTTTTTGGTATTTTACCTCTTATGTCATGCTGGTCAATACCAAATTTTAATATCAGATCAGAATTAGGTATTCATTACTTATTTTTCTAAATAAAAAACCCTGATTGACTTTTACGATCTTTTGAGTCCAAATGCGTGCCATGATAACAAAGAAGAATGTGTTTACAGGTAAATTTTCTTTGGGTTACTATTTCAAATATTTTTATAAAAATTAAAACACAGTATTATTAGTATTAAGTAAGTATGAGTACAATCCGAGCAGGAACCGATAGCTAATCAATAACAAATGAATATCTTAATGTGGTATGATGCCAGATTTTGGGATGCGTGTGGTATAAAACCTTGTTTTGATATTATTCAGTTATCGAAATATTTTGTAAAACATCAAATGAATACCAAAATAACAAAATGTGATCTTTCAGTTTTTAGACAATAACACCTAAAAGAGTTATTAAATTGGTATTAGAAGACCTTCAAAATATCAAATTATGGTATTCTGGCATCTAAAACAGCGTCTGTTATCCGTTTGTTATTGTAATAACTAAATTATTTATTAGTTCGTTATTCGTAGAACATTTTTGAGGTATTATTTTTGGTATTTTACCTCTTATGTCAGCCTAACCAATACCATATTTAGGTTGCCAGTTATGCTTTTTTCATACCTGAATTTGGTATTAATAAGTATTTTTTTCCTGCTCGGGAAAACACTGAAGAAGTCTGCTCATTGTACACAAAAAAGCATATCGGTCAAGTACAAGCTAATAAGGTAGTGGAATTAAATGGAAATTACTAGTCCTTTCTCTCTTTATATTTAAACTTGTAGATACTTAATGTACATTTCAAGAAAATCAGTCAAGCTCAGAGATCTTAAGGACAGTCCCAATAACTTCAGGAAAGTCCAGTCTTCTGGAGAAGTTTAAAGATCTGTAAACGATAATTTCTATAAATTTACGGTAGCTTCATGAATTCAAAAAACTTAAGTCCAGAGAACTCCTGAGAAATTTAGAAAACTTCTTACATATTTTGGAAACAAAACAGAAGTGTTCCGGTAAATCATCAGGTGTAGAACTTTATGAGAATTACACTAACTTTTAGGAAGTTTCATGAATATCAGAGAAGATCAGAGAACCTAAGAACAGTTCAATGAACGTAACGAAAAATTCAGGAAATTTCCAAAAACTTTAGCACCCAAGTAAAATTGAAGGTTTTATCGAGATTTTATATCATTCTACAAGTCTAAATCATGATCTACAGAACCCTCATAAAACCAAAATTGTTACTTGAGCATTGTTCTCAGATCTTCAGACAAAGCCTGAGAATTTTGGAGAAGTTTAAAAAAAAAATAGTCACTGTCATTATTTTTTGGAATGTTCAGAGTATTTAAAGGATGATCAGAGATCTTAAAAAACTGTTTCTTTAATTAATTCCTGGAACTTTCAATAATTTTCGAAAATGTTGAGATGGTTCCTAAAATTTCGGGAATTTTGCGGGATTTTGTGGAAAATTCAACCAATATCAGGAAAATTGTTGAAACGTTTTGGAACTTCTGAGAACTTCTTGCTAATTCAGGGAAGATTGACGTTAATTAACAAAAACTTCCAGTAAGTCCAGGACAGTTTAAAAATATGAAGGGATGTTCATGACCTTAAGTTTCGAAAACTTTAGGAAAATTTAGGACGTTCTGGATTAATCAATGGAAAATTTTCGGAACGTTTAAAATGGCCTGAGAAATTCTGAGAAGTCTTGAAAACTTTGCTGGAGTTTATAGATCTTTAGGGCAGTTCCAATAACTCCGTGATACACCAAAAACTTCTGAAGAGTTTTGACTTTTATTAGATCTTGGATAGTTAGTTATAAATTATGTCTCATCAGGGCTAGTAACATTTTGCGCTGAACGGAAGATGGTAAAATTGTATGTCCTATGAGATGTCAAAGACTGAAACGTCATAAAAACATCGTAGCAATTTGATTTGCCGTTAAGCTGAAAATCCAATATCCAAAAAATTCGATTTTTAAGTTTTGCTGTATGCACTGACATATTTTACCCGTAGTCTAATTTTGCGTGTACTTCCCTTAATTACTAGTATGGACGCTCCATGGGTGCATGGATTTGAGGTGATCGTGGCAAACATATGCAAAATCAGTGAGTAACCAGCTCTAAATTTACCACGACAGCACCAGTGGTATCATTTTGGTGCACTTATTCTTCATGAGCTAAGAAGTACGTGCGCCAAAGACACCGAAATGATTTAACTTATTATGTGCACAATACGTAATATTTACCAATATGCAGGGCGTCACAAGTTTCGTGGATTTGGATTTTAAATTTCAGATCTGGCACGAATTTGGAAATCAATTGTTCCAGTAAGTTTGAATTCAACTAAGTTCCAATTTTATTTATTTGAAAACGCCATTCCAACACAATTTCAAAGTTTCATTTATTGCGATGCATTCTCTTGCATGCAGACGCCCTTGTGTTCGATTTATTGAGATTAGCACAAGCTGCCGCATTCTGTGTCTATTTCTGAGTAGCTTCTTATGGTTAGTGGATTTATCCAGGTGATCTATGCTCACACTTTAAGTTATGACAAACCAATTAACTGAGATAAAATTATTATGAAAACTCAGACGATCCTGCTCCAGGGTGCTCAGAAGGAACTTAAAAAATGTTCTATGGTTGCAGTGTTTGATGAAATTAGAAAATTCCTAATGTTTTCATAACGTTTCTGTAATTACCAGATTGTATTTAAAAGATTTTAAGCCAAGAGGCGCCGGTGGTGTAGTGGGAAGCGGGACTGCCTCTCACTCCAAAGGGCCGGGTTCAAGCCCAGTCGGGATTTTCTGAGGCATATCCCTGTTCACGCCATCCTTCGGAAGGGAAGTAAAGCCGTTAGTCCCCGGTCCATGAGTTGATGGGTCGATACGTAGGATGCAGCTGTCTCCCTGGCATCGGTAGCACCAACACCGAAAACAAATCAAGGGAAAAAAAGTAAATTTAAATCTTTAAATATCCCAGACAACCAGAAATCGTATACCATTACACAGTTTGAATCGTATAAAATAATACTTGAAATTACTATCGTATATCTGTCTATCATAAGCATACTAAATGTGTATATTTTTTCGTATTTAATGTTTTTTCTTCCATTTGTTACGACCAATATTTCACATCGTAACAAAGTACAATGCACATCACAGTATGTATAAGCAAGATTGTATGTTTTCCAACTTGTGATTTATAAACGATCACTATTACTGTCAAATTATAGTGTGCTTATGCAGAGTCGTAAGAAATACTACTTTTAACACTAATTACAATTTCGCTTGATGCCATGAACAATGTGCATACAAAATCGATTTATGTGAATTTTCAATCGTATGTAATGCTGTGGGTTATTTTTTTATTAAGACATACGACTAGTGTTAATCACATCTCCATCAGCGTTAACAACGAAAACAGTTAGTTGTGGTTAAAATGCGTGAATATATGCTAAAAAGAAAACTTATCAAGGCTCGTAAGAGCGGAACGTATAGTCGACTTCTTAAAAAGTACAGAAAAAAGTGGTATCTCGCTAAACATATACATTCAAGTGACGAAAATGATCATATTACACGACATTCTGAAGAATTCCAACCTGAAAGTCAGCGCGTCGTTACTCCTATCAACGAGGTTGAAGAACCTTCGAATATTGTCAATGAAGAACGTGATCAGGCAGAAAACAGTAAGCATACATTTATTTTTAAAGTCTTAATTTATTTATTTATAAATAACATTTTCAGCACCGAAAAAGGATCTGGTTACAGAGATCCGGAGTTGGTCCACCGAATTTCATATCAGTCAGGCAGCGCTGAAATCACTTGTAGGGATTTTAAACTCTAACTTGGAGTTAAATCTTCCAAGTGATCCCCGTACTTTTATGAAAACCCCAAGGAACCTGAACATCATTGACATGGCTGAAAATGGACTGTATTGGCATCAAGGCATTGAAAACTGTTTGAAGAAAGCTTTGGAACAGGTTGATCGCCCAATGTCAATATCTATAAATATTAATATTGACGGCCTTCCAATCTACAAAAGTAGCCTGAAAAACTTTTGGCCTATACTCTGCAATATTCATGAGCTGCCCAAAGTTACACATATGGTAATAGGCATGTTTTATGGCAGCAGCAAGCCTAAAAGTGTAACTCAATTTTTAACTCCATTTATAAATGAGATTTTACCAATCCTTAAGGATGGATTAGTAATAAATAGTCACCACATTGCGGTCAGCATTCGATGTTTTATATGCGATTCTCCTGCTCGGTCTTTTATAAAAGGAGTCATCAATTTCAACGGCAAACACGGCTGCCTTAAGTGTACTACCAAGGGCAAATATTGTCACACTGCTGGTACAGTAGTGTTCCCCAATATCAATGCCCCACCTAGAACTGATGAGAAGTTTCGGAATAAGGAGTATCCCGAACATCAACGAAGTGATACACCTCTCATACGTTTACCAATAGATCTAATAGAGGACATTATTGTGTCTGACGCTCTACATTTGTTGGAATTAGGTGTGATGAGGAAACTGCTGAACGGTTGGCGCACAGGTTCAATGACAAAGCGTGCTAAATGGAGTATCAAAGATAAAGCAGAAATATCAAATTTCCTTGTAAAAATTCGATTTCCTTCAGAAATTCATCGACGAATGCGATCATTGCAGTTTGTTTCTTTGTGGAAAGGTTTAGAGTATCGTAATTTTCTTAACTACGTTAGTTTTGTACTTCTTAAAGATTTTCTACCTGACAAATTCTATCATCACTTTCTATATTTGTTTTGTGCAGTTCGTATATGTTCTATTGAAATGTACAATGGTTATCTTCCAGTTGCCCGTGATTTGTTGAATGATTTTATAAATGAATATAAAGATCTGTACGGAGTAGAATACCTTACAAGCAATGTTCATAATCTGTGCCACGTAGTAGATGAAGTAGAAAGGTTTGGACCGTTGTGTACACTAACTGCTTATCCGTTCGAAAATTACTTACATTCTATTAAAAAAATGATCCAAGCAGGACCGCTGCCCTTGAATCAAATAGCAAACCGTTTGATCGAACTTGTTAATAATGAAACTTCAAAAAACATAAGCCATGCATGTTCAACTAATACAAGAACTACTATTTCCGTTGAGAAGACAATATCTAAAATCAAGATCACCCTAACGGACTTCATTTTGAGTACAAACTTTGAAGATAAATGGATTCTAACTAAAGACCTTCATATTGTTTGTATGGAAAATGTAATTGAAAACAATTCGGATTGGGTGATTGAAGGTAGTTATGTACTGCATAAGAATGACTTTTTCGTTAAACCTTTCAAATCTTCTTTTATTCATATTTTTGTTGCTAAGGCAGAGAAAAGTAACTTATCCAAGAATCAATTGTGCGATATCAGTTCGATCATGTGTAAACTAGTTGCTATACCATGGAAAAATGAAATTGTTTTTGTTCCTCTAATACAAACTGTGAAGTAGTTTACCTAAACAATGAATCAGAATAACAATGTTTTTCGCAACTTCAATGTTTATTGCAATTCATGGAATCATGGAATTCGGAAATACAGCAAAGCAATCGTATGAAAACCAAATTATTGAATTTAATTTTCCTCAAATCCGGCAAAATCTGGTGAAGCATTATCATCGGAATCGAACAGCGTGCTCACTTCGGGTACGTCGTCGTCACAGGAATCAGTGGTTGCATCGACGTCATCAGCTTCTCTTGTATCATCAGCGTTTGGCTCACGTTCATTTCCCTCAATAGAACTGTCTGCATGTGAAGCATCATCATCGGCATTTTCCAAAGTTTCGGCTGCGGGTTCATCGACCTCATCATCTGTAGCACCTGCTCCAAGCTCGCATTCAATGGGAATATCCGCATTTCCGTCGTGTTTCTTTTTCCGATTCGGACGACAAGCCGATTTCCGTAGCTGCTTACTGATAGACCTTGCCTTCGAGTAACGGAAGAGTCGAGTTTTGCAAAATGTTTCCAGATTTCGTAATGTGTACGTTGGATCACCAATACGTACAATTGCCAGGAGTAATTGAAGAACGTTGGCAAATTCGCGAAACCCCTTTTTGGATTTGTTGCCACGGTTGATTCCCGTCCAGGTAAATGTGTCCCAGAACGCTCGCGTAAATAGGCAATCTGCTATTATATAAAAAGCCGAATCTCCTCTTCCAATGTACGTGTCTGGGATAACAATTTTCGTGTAGTAGGCAATCTGAAACAAAAGTATGTCAAGATTTGTCGATAAATTAAAAAGAAAACTTACATATTGTTTGCGTACATCCTCATTTGCCAATAGTATGTTAAATTTAGTTAAATTATCTGCGTCATTGATAGGTACATGCTCCTCGACGGTTTGCCCTGTTTGCATCACAGGCTCATCGATTTTTTTAGACATGTCCATCATGGCAGCCAATCGAATGAAATTGCTTTCGAAGCAATCTGTCACGGCTTGGCGAATTGAATTCGAGATAGTCTCTTTGAATTCCTGCTTCATATTGTGGAATTCAGTCTTCAAATTAGCCATTTCAGATCTGAGGGCTTCGACTTCACATTTGAAATCATCAAAAGGAAGGAGCGACAGATTGCCTAAAAATAGGAAAATATCTTAGTGACATGATCATATAGGAATGCTTTCAGACGATTTCTTACCAGCGTTGGCGGAGTCGTCTGTTTGAGTGATGTACATTATGCCATCATCATTAACAAATATAGGTTGCTGATAAGTAGACTGATGACCTAAGGCTGGATCTGTTTGAAATAAAACAAAACAAAATTTAAGAAAAATCAGATATTGAATTAATTATTGTTACCTTTCGGAGAAGATGGTGCATACATCATTTCATTTGTTGGCATCCTTTCAGTTTTGTACTGATCAGATAGCTCTTGTAGATTTGGTACAACTTCTGGAGCTGGTCCCTGATGTATCATTGTAGGCGCTATAAACGAGGATGGTGTGGTACACAATGTTTGGAACGAAAGACCTGGATCAGTCTCGCGAATGTCGTACGTGCCTGGTGCTTGGATTATTTGTCGTGATGTTGTCTTCTGATGTGTCAGTTTGTCGAATCCAACTTGTTGCTGCACACCGGGTACCGGGAATGACGCGCCTGTTGCTATCTCTCGTGCTGCGGAAGTTTCGGATGGTCCTCGTTCTGGTAAAATCTGCTGGCGTGCTAGGGTGAGTTCAACTTTTCGAGGTACACTCGGAGTCTGGAACGATGCACCTGGTGCAGTCCTTAGAGCACTGGAAGTGCTGGATGTTAGGGACGATGATAGCGGTACGGATGGCTGGCGTATTAGATTGCAGGATTCGATTTGTCGTTGCTTACTTGGTGTCTGGAACGATGACCTTGGTGCAGTTTTTCGAGTTCCGGGAGACTGAATCGACCCATTAGCACCGACAGTGATTCCATGAGATCCGGTTTGTTGCACTTTCGCCTGTTTGGAAGAAACAATTTCTAAAAAAACAGATATTATAGCTGCGAAATAATTTGCTATATGCGCAACATACTCTCAATGGCCCGGTTGTAATCCTTGCGTGGATTTTGCTTCACATTGCTGTGTTTCAGAAGTTTTCGTTTAGTTTCTATGTCAGAAACTTCATGCTTTAAAAGATCTTCAGCGGCTGCTTCTGCTGCTTGAAGACTCCGGTATTTTCGGGTTACTATGGCCGGAATTTTTTTCGAAGCCCCGTGAAATTCAGTTCCATCTACACGCATTTTGTCAATTTTATCGTTTGATAGAAGTTTTGGCCATAGCAAGCAGCCGCCTCGAATCCAAGAGGATGGAATAGCCAATACTCGTAGTTGTTGCTTTTCGAAAAATTGCGCCACGGTAAACATCTGGAAAATATATTTGATGTTATATTATGGTACCTTTATGTACTTTTTTATTGTGTATTACCTTTTCTGGGTGAAAAATGACCACGGAGCTGAGTTTTAAAGCGAATTGCACTGCTTTTCACGCAAATTCATACAGACTATTGATAGCGACGCAAATGTAAACAAGTATGGCTCCTTCGCCTTGTCAAATATGTGTCGTATTGGGTGACGAGTGAAAAACGACAACAAAAAAAGTCGCATTTATCAATGAATCAACTCGTTTTGCATCAACATTTAGCAACATGGATAAACGATTTACTTTGATGGTCCATACGATAGATGTGAAATGTTATTGATTAGAATCAGCAAAACTCACAACTCATGTGTGATGCTGTGGATAGCTCGACAACTAACAACCCGGGTGTTCAAAGTTCGATTCCAGTAAGTGATGGTTTTAATTGTGTAAGATGTAAGTATAACATAAGTTTCATGCCAAATACGGAAGTCCTAGTGCATTGGAGCTTTGATTGATGTTGTGTGCATGTAAAAATACTTTTTGACGCTAATTTTATTGGTCGTTTAAAATATCAAACAAAATCGTAACTATGGACCTCGAAAATTGCATACAATGGTGAAGTAAATCAGTAATCAATTAGTGCATCATGTATAAAGGTGTTTCAAATCGTAATATTTCATAGACAAAATGGTCTTGTGGTAAAAATTTAATCGTAAATATATAAACCATAAATCAATGCAGGAATAGGAATCGTTATTTAGTCTATCAAAAATCGGAGAAAATGCTAATGTAGGTCTTAAAAATAACTTATCAAAATCGTATCTAGTCATTTCTTTTTTTAATGTTTTGGCGATGCTTGTATATTGCCTCCACTTTTGTACGTAAAGGGCATTTTTGAACATTACATACGATTTAAACAAATGGTATATATGCTTGCATATTTCAATTGTAACTGTGGTATACGTAACAAATGGTTGTCTGGGATAACCCTGAAATCTCTTAATCCTCTCAGATGATTCACGATTATATTAAGGTTAATGCACTCAATCGGAGCCCGTTGCTCTCGGAATCTTTCCAAAACCCCTTCAAACTTTTTAACAGCTCCGAAGTTTGCAGATCTTCTCTTAAACACTTATAAGATCGAAATGACTGAACCTATATGTAGCTCTTCAAATCTCTCAAAAGTTCTTCAGGCTTCGCAGTATCTTCTTTTCATTAGCTTCCTGTTTATTACAGAGTTACTTTAGGAGTTCAAATAGCCTCATAGATGTTTAGCAAACTCCAGTTTTGTCCTGCAAATCATAGATAAATTTCCTGCATTGCAAAAAAAGATCAGTGCACTTAATAGAAATTCAGCAAATTTTTGATAAGCTCACGGAGCCTCATTGTAATTTAGATAACCTCTCTGAAAAAAAACTCATGTAACACCATCTCACGTTTGGGTGAATGCCTAAGTAGTTAAAGAACTTCAGATAATTTCTTTCCTGAATTGTTGATTAAAAAATGGACTTCAGAGAAATCATGCGAACTTCATAGAGGCTCAAGGAACTTCAATGCAGCTTATGGAATATTAGAAAGACACAGATAACTTTTCAGTGAAGTTTGGGAGACCTTCAGAAATGGTCAAGGACATCATAAAGTCAGGGCCTCCCTTAGCTCAGTCGGTAAAGACGCAGCAGTCAAAGCAAGGCCATGCTGAAGGTGACTGAATTCGAATCCTGGTCCGGTCTAGGTTCCTGGGTATATACTGTACTTGCCACACAATTATACTAATGCAAAAATGATACAGGCATCGAAAGCTCTCAATTAATAATTGTGGAAGTGCATCTATAACACTTTTTTTTTCCGTGTTGGGTGTATTCATCACTGCGACCATTACTTTGATCTATTGTGATAGGGTTTTTGATCTAATTTCCGTCCTACTAAGCACAACCCGCGCTTTACCTCTGTTTGCTGAACGAGTTTAAACAAAAAATGTAATATTTCTATCAAATATGACTTGCAAATTTATTCACCTTTCCATACGTACCGTTGCATTTGATAAAGAGTCACAAATTGTTGAGATATTGTCTAAAATTTAACACTGCTTCTTGATTCTAAATTTATTCTACGAGTTTCAATTCCGTCCTAACGCATTGAAACGCCATTAGATTTTCTTCGTCCTACGGATAAACGTAGAAAAAGGGGATTCGCTAGGAGCGCAACTTTTGTTTTGAGAACAATGAGCGTAAATATTCATACAATGCGCTCTAACAGGATTTATGTTGTAGCTAATGAGCTAGCGCATCGGAACAAACCTATTATTGATTTGTGCACGTTGAAATCATTGATATTATTGATCTTTTCTGATCGATAGAACGGAAATGGGCGATTACGACGAAGTAGCGCTCTACCCTATTCCCCGTTTTTATATTGCTTTATCAGTTATGTCGTATCACTATTTTGTGAAGCGACCGACAAAGATTGACCAAAAGCATTTTCCCAGCCAGGTATTACATTTCGAATGAAATGTACTACTTTACTGGGACCTGCATTCCAAATATCAAAGGGTTCTGCCAGCCCCTTTTCCAGAAAAAAATACGCCTTTTATTGAAGATTGCTGCACAAGAGCATAGCAGGTGTTCAGAGTCTTCCTTTTCTATACCACAGAATCGACACATATCCTCTTGAAGTTTTCCTATTAGCTTCAAATGATATTTACATGGACAATGTCCTGTTATCAAACCAGTATAGACACTGAGATCTTTCTTTGATAATTCAAGAATTTTGCTAGCCATTGAAATGTTCGGAATTATGAACCGTTTCGACTGCCTAGCAATGGAAGCGTTGTTCCAATTGGTCTCCACTTTCATTTTTTTCGATTTCTTGAACTCCATTTAAGAGAACAAGTAGAAACTCCACATAATGGTTCTGGTCCTATGAATTGCTGTGATGATCCTAGCCTGGCTAACGTATCGGCTTTTTCATTCCCTTCAATTCCACAGTGGCCAGGAACCCAATATAAGTTTACTTGGTTTTGACAGGCCAATTTCTGAAGTGACATTGCACATTCCCAAACGAGTTTGGAATTGCATGTTGCTGATTTTAAAGCATTTAATGCTGCTTGACTATCAGACATAATGCAGATATTCGAATGTTTATAATTCCTGCGCAAGCATATTACAGAGCATTCAAGAATTGCATCTATAACACTAAGTTGAGGGCACACAATTAGCTAATATGCGATAAGCATTAAGCTTGAAATTCGAAGAAGAAGGAGAAGAAATCCAGAAAGGCTCTTCGGAGACGAAGTTTAAGGACGGCAGCTAAGGGTGATTGTAGAGAAGTTCAAATTAACCCTAGATTTTGAATTTTTCGTGAGATTTAAAAAAAAATATATCGAACATGGACATTCTTAGGTATTTAGGTTATTCAGTTTTTATTTTTAGCTTGAAAATACTGATTTTTTTTTTAATATTATTCCAGAAAAACATTATTTACTTACAGAGAAAATCTTTTCTCAGACGTTATTTCGATAAGAAATGCAGTTTCCATGTGAAAAATGTGAATCACTGTCCAAAACAAACAGGTATGCAACATTTCATGCAAATCGAAGCAGGTCAAGTAGGGGAAATGCAGGTAATGTCGGCCTAAGTGTCCCTAATTTGGACCCATACATAAATTCAGAAATCGACTAAATTTTCAATAGCAACCAAAAATATCCATTAGTAACGTTCCAATAACGCGTTCATCTAGATAAAATTGATAAATAGCAGATTTTTATCTATGGGCCCAATCTTAGATCCATAGGCCAACATTAAAGACATTTCCCCTATTCCGATCCCTCATTTGGAACTGCTCACATAGATTTCGCTAAACTATCTGGCATCCCTGGTCTCATAAGGATCAGAGAGTAGTGATCCAGAGCCAGGGGAAGAAGGAACATACAGCTCTGAATAATTAGCAAGTAATGTAAAATCAGATTTAAATAATCCTACCACAGTTTGTCTTTTTCCTTATGCCGTATTTCGTAGCTGCCAGCCACCGTTTGTATGTGTGTATGTATGTATGTGCATAAGAATTAGCTACACAGGTTTATGGGAGCTGCTGCAGTTTGTCTATCTCACTCGCTCAGTCTCACTGCGTATTTGGCATGGAATAATAAGACCAACTTACTACCGTAAGCTGCACTGAGTGTGGAAGCATGTCTTGGTTTGAGGTGAACGCGGTAGGTAAAAGTTTGCGAGGTATAATAAAATTTAATTAAAGTTAGCGAGATGCAGATCATTTGACAATGTGTCACTGTTGAACGGCGGTGGTTGGAGGGTACTTCTTTTGAATGGGAACGTATTATTAAAGAACCGTTCAAGCAGAACTTTTCGAGCGTTATTGGGGTAACTTTAATGAATGAATTTCGTAAGCGCGTCTATCCTTTCCATCAGTGCATGGGTGCGAACGAGGAAATAAACCTTTGCATGGTACAAGTTAAAATTTGAACTTCAATGTTGGTTAAAGTAAAAAAAAATCATAAAGAACTGTATGTTATGTTACGTTTAAAATTCTATGTCTGATATCTCGAATATTTCACTAAAATACTTCTTCAAACTCCGAATTTTGAACTT